AACCTTATTTTCCCCTACAATGCTTATTTATACTTGTCACACACTGGCTTTGGTTTTCCTTATTGTCTCTTGTCCCTCCCTGACTAGCAAGTGAGTGCCTGGCGGGCAGGGAGTTTTTCCTGTTCATCGTCTTCTCCACCCCCAGCACAGCACTTGGGATACGGCCGATGGCTAACGAACATTTAGAAAATTCATAATGTGGAAATCATAACTGTCTCTAACTCACAGTCTTGTTATGGGGATCCAAAGGATCAGTGAGAGCTGCTGGTAACCAAGATGTCCAGCTGTGTCCAAATAACTTTCTGGGAAGTTAAAGAAAGAGGAACAGGTGGGACTTAAATTTTATTTTATCTAACAGGGTCAATATGGATGAAGCAGGACTAGGCTTGCTAATTGAACTCCCCCTGAGGGCAGGTTGGTTTGAACATGGCACCCACCCCCATTCTGAGGGAGAAAACTGTCTCCAGGAGGAAGAAGAGCTGGGGGCACCTACTTTTCTCCAATCAGAGAATTGTCTCCCCTTGGCTTGGGGCATAGTCTTGGGGGTAGTTCTGGGGGTGTTAGCAGCTGGCGGAGCTCCTTATATATAATGGCCACCCTCATAGAGGGCCTATTCGGTGCCAGGTGCTATTTCAGGTACTCACCAAATTATTAACTCTTGTACTCTTCACCACCCTCCGAAGTAGGGACTGTTATCACCCCCATTTTACAGAGGGGAAAACTGAGGCACAGAGAGGTCAAATTATTTGTCTAAAGTCACACAACTAACTAGACCTGGGATTTGAACTTCAGCTTCTCCAAAGCCTGGATTCTTGACCACCACCTTAAACAACCACTCACAGGCAGAGAGTAAATGTCTCCCTGGAACGTGTAATGGTAGTCCCCTTTTACCCGAGGGGAATACAAACCAAGACCCTCAAGTGGTTGCCTGAAACCACGGACAATCACTGAACCCTATATATGCTATGGTTTTTCCTATGCATTCGTACCTTTTCTCTTAAAGGAAGCACTTTACGGCTTCTCTTTGGCATGGCATATCTGAATCGCCGGCATCACTCCTCTTGCACTTTGGGGCCATTGTTAAGTAAAATAAGGGTTACCAGAACACAGGCAGAGCGAACTGCAACACCTGAGAAGGCTACTAGGCGGCTAACCAGTGGGTAGCGTATACAGCGTGGACATGCTGGATGAAGGGATGAAACACATTCCAGTGGGTCAGAGTGGGACAGTGTGAGATTTCAAGTTACTCAGAATGGTGCACAATTTAAAACTTATGAATTGTTTATTTCTAAACTGTTCCCTTTAATAGTTTCAGACCACAGTTGACTCCAGGTAACTGAAACTGGAAAGCAAAACCTCAGATAAGAGGGGACTACTTTAAAAAACACTTAGGACAGTGAGTGGCACGTTGTGATAAGTTCTCCACTATTAATTTATTGTTTAAAAATCACTTGCTTCATTCATTCACTCATTCATTGATTTGACATAAATCTTGTCTAGGTACCAGGGGCTGGGAATATGGAAGTGAACTGGAATCATGAATCGTGCTGTGGAAGCAGAGGATGTGGAGAGCAAGGATGGGTGGGGACTCAGATCTGAGATGAAGGGTAGTAGGGCTGCCTCTGAGGTGGAGACAGGACGGAGAGGCAAGTCTAGGGAGACACAGAGGCCAGTGTGGGACCCAGCAGGTGTGGGAGACCTGGGAGATGCCCAGGAGGCTCAGGGGAAAGGCTGGGGCTTGAGACAGAAACATGGGCATCATTAGTGCTGCGTGGGGAAACTGAGGCTGTAGGGGCAGGTGAGAAAGCCTTTTGAAGGGAGTAAGGGGTAAGAAGAGAGACAGGACCCCATATTTAAGAGACAGGCAGAGAAAAACCTAACAAAGACCAAGAATGAGCCAGCAGCGATGGAAAAGGAAATCCAGGTGTGATGGTATTGGGGAAACCAAGGGAAGTATGTGACGTAAGAAAGAGGAAGGTCCCTCTGTTCCTTGCAACGTCAGACACCAGCTGGGCAGGGGCTTTAATCCTTAAAGCTGCCCTGGGAAGGAGTTGGTAGCACTCTCTTCATGTGACTAAACTAAAACTAAAATGGTAAAACTTGTTAGATTCCAAAACTGATTCTCTAAAACACTAAATCCTGCTTCTTGTGTTTTGTGACACATTTAAAAAATTACAGATTAAAAAAAAAAATCAAGATAAAAAAAAAAATCAAACCCATCAGCATGCCCCTACAAAATTGTTTGGGATGGTGGAGACTTGGAGGCCACCCAGGTGTCCATCCCACAGGAGGTAAACCACATGGATAGAAGCAGCAACTGCAACCAATGGATTAGCTGTTCACAAAGACGCTTGAATGGACCTTGTGATCTGACTGTTTATTGGAAAAAGCATGAAATGGAATGAAATAGATAGCATAACACTATTTTTGTACATCTTAAAACGTACCCCTCAGATTGACAGAAAAGGACACAAGGGAATTTTCTGCAGTGATGGAAATGTTCTATATCTTGATAGGGATTTGAATTGCTCCGGTATGTGAATATGTGAAAACTCATAGAATGGTACATTTACAATTTGTGCATTTCATCATATGGAAATTTTACCTGAAAAGAAATAAAGTGCTGTAAATAATTATCAAGTTCTAATTAGTGATATGCATTCTGAAGCATTTGGAGGGAAGTGTACTGTTGTTTGCAACTTACTTTGAAATGCATCAAAAAATAAGATGTATTTATGGATGGACGGAGCAATGGATAGAAGGACAGATATGATTTAAAGCAAGTATAGTTAAATGTTAACAGTGGCAGGTATACAGGTGTTCACAGTAAAATTCTTTAAACTTTTCTGTATGCTTGAATATTTTCACAGTGAAACATCAGAAAAATATGCCCCTAAACAGTATACACTTGGCAAAACAAAATCACAATAATAAAGAGATATATATTATACAGGATGAAGTGGGTGCCAATGGCAGATAGTGTAGAAATAGGACATAGAAATAAAAAGGAATGAAAAAATGAATGAATGGATGGATGAATGAATGATTAAACTGAACCTCATTGGTCTAATCACAATTCCCAGCCATCCAGCACACACTAGCATAGCTGAGTAGATTGATAAAATATTGATATACTTTCTTCCTGTTGATAAAAATCTTCTTTCTCAATCACTCTTCAGAGCTCTCAACCCCCAGGCTCCTTCCCTAGAACCCCCAGATGACCCATAGACTGTCCATTCCAACAATGCCCCAGGGCTATAGACACACATTTATTCTGATTGTTCTGAGCCTGGAAAGTAGTGGTAGTTAAATAGTTTGAACATTCTATTTGCAGGCTTCTGCTACATACAAGTCCAGGGGACTCTGCTCCCCTGACATTCCCCACCAACCATTAATTTCTCCCCCAGTCTGAGATCCTTACCCGGCCAGAGTCCATGGCTTCTGCCAGCCTCTCAGGGCTCAGCTCCGAGGGAGCTCCGGGCCTTCTGACCCACGAAGTTAGCTCTTTCTGGAACGGAGTGGTGGGTGGGGTAATGAGAGGGACCTGGTAGGCAACCACACCCTCCTCCCACATCCTGCCCATCCCTTACACAGAGCCGAGAGCTGGTCAGCGCCGTCACCTTCAATTGCATGAGGATGTTCCCAGTTGGGCCAGGGGTCTCCAGGAGGCCTCGTGACAGGTCCACACACCGCAGCATCGCACTGAGGTTTCCCTCATACCAGGCCTCACTGCCCAGCCAGAAGGCATCAGGCCCTGGAGCCCACTAACCCTTTTCTGCCATCCTCCCGACCTCCCAGGGCCCTGGCCCCTTACTCACCCAGTCTTTTAAAACATTTTTAATATAACCGCCCATGACAAGCCAGGGACTAGGCATGTATAGACTGTGATGGCCCATAAGGTGGCTATGTTTACTCACCCAGTCTTGACAGCTGAGTCTGGCTCCTCCTCAGTAGGCACTGCCAGCAGGGGCCGGAGGCCTAGAGTCTGGAGCTGTTGGACACAGCCCCTCACCTCCTCTGCGGTCTCACCAGCCACAAACTGCCCATAGACAGATGCTCGGAGAAGCGCGCCTGAGAGCCGGGAGCCCAGGAGTCGCTGAGACCAGGCCTGGAGCTGGGGTGACAAGGAGTGAGAGCTCAAAACTGGACCTTGGGGAGCCCTTAGACGAGGCCCCAGGGTCACTGCTCACCACCAGGCCGTGGGTGACCAGAGGGGGCCAGGCACACAGCCGTAGCACTAGCAAAGCCCGTGTCAGTTCTCCTGTGCCCTTGAGGCGGAAGGCCGCACCATCAAAGCTCAAGGGCTGCCAGGCCCCAGCAGAGGGGCCAGCCTGGGAATAGAGCACTCGACAGGTCCAGAGCATCATGAATCCCTCACCACGCCAAGTAAAGGGGCTTTGGAAGTAGCAGAGCTACCGGTGCCCCTTGCCTGGCCAGGGGCAGTGACTCATTAACCAGGCAGTTGCCAGGAAAAGGCAAATCTTTAGGATCACAGGCTCCTTGGAGGTCAGTTAATTATCAACTGATAAGGACAGAGTTCAGAATAACGGGGACAGGAAAGGACAACCCTCAGCATAACAGCTCACGAACATGTGACAGTGGGTGCTAAGTGAGAGCAGGGCTCTGGGAGAAAGGACCTCTGGTTTCAAGGCAGTTTGACTTCGTGATCTTGGGAAAGTTACTTGACCTCTCTTGTTGCAATTCCTTCATCATAAAATGGGGGAAAGTGCAGTGTTATTGAATAAATTGGAAAATACCTAAACCTCTAACCCAGCTGTTCCATGCTAAGTATATATCCTAGAGAACTTGAACATGGGCTTCAGGGAATATGTAGAGGAAGGAATGTTCATAGCAGCAACGTTTGTAATAGCTCCAAATGGGAGTCACCTAACTGTTCATTGACTGGAGAATGTATAAATATATTGTGGTATATTTATACAACAAAATACTATAAAGCAATGAAAAAAGAACAAACCATATGGACAAACCTCACAAACATAATGTTGAGTGAAAGAAGCCAGGCACCAAGGACATGCTGTATTATTCCATTCAATAAACTTGAAAGCAGGGAAATTAAATAAAGCAATAAAGTATTGGAGATACATACATACATGGATGGTCCAACTTTAAAGAAAAGGTGAGCAAGAAAATGATTATTACAAAAGCCAGAGAGGTAGTTACCTCAGGGGATGGGAGGAGTTGTCACTGGGTAGTGACTCATGAAGGTTTCTATGTTCTTTTTTTCTTAAATGATGATGATTCACAGTTGTTCACATAAGTATTTTTTAAAGCTATACATCTATATTTTATACTCTGTGAATGTAAAATACATATCACAATAAAAAGTAAAAAGTTAATCATGGGTTGAAGGATGAGAATTAAAAAGTAATCATAGTATCAGTCTCACAAGGTTGTTATGAGGATCCAATGAGTTCAGGGACACACACAGCCTAGTACGCAATATGGGCTCAGTAAGTACTGGCTGTGATCATTACATGCTGTGTATGCACAGTCTCATTTGTGTCTGTGCTCCTGGTGAGATATATACCATTAAGCACCCTCATGTCTGGGGATCCCGAAAACCACCTCAGGTTCACTGAGTCACTAGAGGGATTCACAGAACTCAGAAAAGCTTTTTTTACTCATGGGTATGGTTTATTACACCGAAAGGATATAGATTGAAAATATCAAAGGGAAGAGGAGCATAGGGTCCAGGAGATGCCAAGCAGAAGCATCCAGTTGTCCTTTCCCAGTAGAGTCAAGTAAACAGCACCTAGTTCTCCCAGCAACAATGCATTACAACACATATAGTGTACTGAAGCCAGGGATGCTAATTCCCATTGATTAGCACAGGACTTAATTTTTGCTGAATGAATGATTTAATGATTTTTTTGCTGAATGAATGATTTAATGGGTTTTTTTGGGGGGGGATTTGCTATGGACAAGGGATTTGGAGATTCCTTCATATGGCAATACAAGTAGATTATGGATAAGACCCACTTCTTGAGTCATTGTCATCTTGAGGCTACCAGAATCACCTCCTCAAAAAAGTCATGATCTGGCAAAGGGTAGAATGGGACTGCGGGAGAGGTGGAGTCTCCCTGAGAGTGGTCGGTCATAATAGCATTGCTATTGAGATGCTGAGTCTTGAGCTATTGGTGAGATGGAGAACCTGGCCTTGGTACTCTCAAGTTAAACCAAGACCCTGAGAGGGACTGAGACGGACTCAGGTCAATAGTGTCCCTTAAGTACCACCAGAACCAGAAACAAACCCTGTCTAAAGGAAGGTTTTCCCAATTTAAGTTTTCAGGACTCCCGGTAACTAAGCTCGCAATCACCAAGCACGCAAGAAAGTAAGCCACCATGAGTGAGAGTCAGCAGAAGCAACTGCTCCAGTTATCTACTGCTACAAAATAAATTACCCTTAGTAAACCTGATGGCTTAAAAGAACAGCAATAATTTATTTTGCTTACAAATTGGCAATTTCTGCAGGGCTCAGTCTAGCTATCTTGTTTCTGTTCTATGTAGTATAGAACAGAACAGGGGCGGCTCAACTTGACACTAGAGGAGGCACTTTCAAGATGCTATACTCATGTACCTGACAACTTGTTACTGGCTAGTTGGCTGGAATCTCAGTCAACACTATGGGCTGGGGGCCTCGGTTCTTCTCTATAGGTACTTGGGTTTCTGTACAGCATGATGGTCAAGTTCTTAGAGTGAGCATCCTAAGGGAACCAGGAAGAAGTTTTATTGCCTTTTATAACCTACTCTTGGAAGTCACACAGTATCACTTCTGCCACAGTCATAAACCCGCCCAGATCAAACTGGGAATACAGATTCTATCTTATCTTCCAGTGGATAGTGTCAAGCCACATCGTAAGAGAAGTGAATCTTGTTGTGGCCATCTTTGAAAAATACAATGTCATAACAAACCAAGATTCAGACCTGAAAAAATTTCGGATACTGGAATTGTCAAAATCAGACTATAAACTCTGTAAAATATTTAAAGAAATAAAATACACAACCATAAATATAAGCAAACAACAAGAGAATATCAGGAATGAAAAAGTGGATTTGAAAAATTAAAAGAAAGGTGAAACTTCCAGAAATAAAAAATATAATAAAGGTGATTCCTGAAACGAAAATTAAAAACTCAGTGTACCAGGCATAGCTGAAGATAGAACTATTGAACTGAAAGATAAGTCAGAAAATTACACAGCAAAAGGGGAAAAAGAGATAAATATATGAAATAGAAGTAAGAAACATCAAATATCTAACAAAAGTCCCCAAAACAGAAATAAGAGAGAATGTAGGAAAGGCAATCCTTGAAGAAATAATGGCTGAGAATTTCCCCAAACTGACGAAAAACATGAATCCACAGTTCTAAGAACCAAGCATCTCCTAAACTAGATAAATAAAAAGAAATTCATGCCTAAACACATCAAAATGAAATTGTACAACACCAAAGATAACTAGATCTATTCTCTGTTTCCGCATCCTATGGAGTATAGTGTTGAAATAAATCTCTAGGCCCAAAATGGAGCCACTCGTGCCTGGGGTGCCACATCAGCCAACCAAAACTTAGTTATCTTTTATGTCCCTGCAAATGCTGTGTCTGACCAGGAACGCAGTATATCCAATCAGGCAATCCCCAAACACCAAACCCCCTATAGGCCTTCTCATCCCAAACGAGGTTGCCCGTGTGGCCCCAGCCAATCAGATATTTTCTACTTGTCCCTTTCTTGTTCTTCATTCTTTATCCTATAAAAGCTTCTTGCCTTCTGGCCCATTTTGCAGTTCTCCGAAAGGAGACCGTCCACCTCATGAAGTATTAAAGTTTGTTTGTATCATCTAAATTGTCTTCTTTAATCATTTTTTTAAACAATAGCATGGAATAGACACCCCACAAATTCTTATTGAAAAAAAGGTTGAGAATCCCAGGTTGAGATCACAAGTAAATTAAAGGCAAGGAGGTAGAAATAACTATGGTTCACAGAGGAGAAAAACATTACTTCTAACTTACCTGAAGCACAAACTAGAACTGGGGGAAAGTAAAGTTGAAACTGACAGTTTGGGAAGGAGAGAGACTAGGGGGGGGATGTTAAGTGCCTGGCAGAACCGACAGAACTACAATAGGCTGCTGCTCAGCAGCAGCTATGGAAGGTTCTTGAATAATGTTCCCAGATGGTCCTTCTGTGAGTGATTATCCATTTTGTGGTGAGAGGAGAAAAGGTTTGAATATTGGCACAGAGGCAGAGTTCTAAGTGGGAGAACAGCTGTGGGGTCAGAGTCCTTTCATTAGTTCTGACTGAGTCACCTGATGACTCTAAGCTGATCACAGATCTAAGTGATACGCCTATCCGTGGAGCTCCAAGTAGGGTGGGCTAGATACGACACACAAAGCCTAGCTGAAGTGGGGGACTAGGCATTGCTGCTTCCAAAGACTCTCCATGGAAAAGGGTGAATGGGCATTGGATAACAGACTAACTGGGCTCATGAATGGTTTTGATGGTTCCGGGAGAGAAAACATAAAAAGAACTTAGAATAGGGATTGGCATATGGAAACAGCTCATAAATGCTGTCTGTTGTTGTTTCAAGCATTCAATGGCTTCCTGTTACCCACAGGATAAAGTACAAATACCATAAGATGACCATCGTGATTTGTCGTTGCACATTTCACTGGCCTCAATTCATGCTTCGACAGTTATTCTCCAGCAACGATTTTGGGAAAATCCCTCCGCACACTGTGCTCCTGCGTCCTCTATGCCCCCATGCCCTGCACAGCTACTTAGCTTTTAATATCGGGGCTTGGTGATCACTTACGTGCAGAGGACACTCTTACCACCACTGGAATTCTTATCTCTAGCACAGACCTTTCTGCTGAGCTCCAGACCCAAAGTATACGACCGCTTATTTAGAATCTCGGACTAAATTGGCTCTTCTCAAACGGGGCGGTACCGCCCCCTGGTGGGAGCATGGAAATTTGCGCAAACGTTATTGGTTGCCACATTGATTGGAGGGCGCTACACTTTTAGAGGTCAGAGACCAGAAATGCGGGACACTGCCTCCGCGTCCTGAACAACTTGAAAATGTCCTTAAAGGCACCCATGTGGGTAATAATTGTTTTATAATTATATGAAATTCTTAATATAACACGCATACACGCACGACATGGTTGCGTGTTATATTAAGTGACAATATAGTGACTTTTTCTGAAATGAAACTATGGTATAAATAGAACGAAAAAAATTTTATTGTTCAGTAGGATACCAAAGGCCGTTCACCATATCGGAAAACCACAATTTCAAACATAATGCCACCTATGAGATATAATGTAAAGTTTTAATGATGTATGACACACAAAAAGAAATGTGCCCCCGTCCTT